CGGTTGGCTCGTGGTGTGGAGGCAGCATAGCAACTGAATGCTTTCACATAGCAACGCCGCCTGCCATCCTGCCCTGACCTGAAAGGCAGCTAAATCAGGAGACGGGTAGGAGGTCAGGAGCTTAACCCCCCCGGCTCCGAACCCTCCCCGCTACCTGCACGGCTGGCAACATGGGCCCCGCTTTCGAGAGGAAATCTTCCACAGCAGCTCCAGGAAAGACTTGCACAACACAAGCCTCCCACACTGAAGCTGCGATTTCGGGTTCCAGGCCCGAGGTGGGACCGGCCCCAGCTCCTTTCTCCCTCCCTGGAAACTGGACTGGCCAGGTGTGTCGAGCGAGGTATCGGCCTGCTTGCCTTTTCCCCGTTTTAACTGTTGCTCCCAGATAAACGCCGGTGGGTTGAGGAGAGGAAGGTACCGAAGCACAGAGAACACACACACACACCAGCCAGAGGGAGGCCCCGGAAACCCTGGCCCATATTTAACCGCCACAATTTCCCACTCAAGGCAGACAAAATCGTTCCTTTGAGAGGAAAACGCAAACTGGAGCGAAAGTACGGAGCAGAGGTTAAACGGTTATGCAGAAGAGGGAAAAAAAAAAGACCTGCTGACGCACGTGAAATTGTGCCAAGCAATTTCGAAACTCATTCGTGTGAAATGTGTCGCTAATCACAGGTGTAGAAAACATCTCACGCCCTCCACTTTAACAGCGGGATGGAAGAGTTACAGACAGACCCATACAGCTCCTGTTTCACTCATCACTCATCACCGGGATGTACTGCCACCACAGCGCAAACAAACTTGTTCGATTTCATTTACTTCAAACCAAACTGTAGTCTAGTTTCTATCAGAGATATTTCAGAAATATATCCACCCCTAAAAGATCCAATTCCGGCATTACTGGCAAACCCAAAGCCAGCTCAATCTTCCCAATGTACTGTGATTATCTGCTGTACAACAGGGTTAGCAGACTGGTGCCCTAGATAAGGTAGTTACTCTCTAGGATGTGATATAACCACATAAATAAGTGCATAGAACGGTCCCACATTAGAACCAATAGAGAAGAGTGCTTTATCATTATCTGGGGATAAAAATATTGTGGATTATATTATAAACAGAAAAGCCATGCTATGAAATTGCATCCATTGCTGCAGAGCAGACGCCAGCAGTTATCCATGTCAGGTATTTAGCATTATACATACATTTTCATCTTAAATGTAATTTAAATGTGCACCACATAAAAATATAAATGTTCCATGCAACTAAAGCTGCAAAAACAAATGCACTGAATGCAGAAAACAAAAATGTGTGGTAGG